AGTCACAGTAGCTCTTAGCGTTGAAGGAATGCTTGAGGCTCGTGTGGTTACGTTTACGTGCACAATAAATTATTCTACAAGGTCAAAATTTCGGAAGCTCTCTACTACGGCATCTCTCATATTCATCGTGATTTTGGAATGTTAAACCCTATCAAAAAGAAGAAGAAGCACTTGTTTGTTACAACAATTTCACAGAAAGGAAAATAGAGGGCAGGTTCAGCAGAGTTTGTTCTGTCATTGAAACAAATATTCAGTGTGGCACTTGCATCACAGAGAGCAATTTTTACAGGAGCGCTGTTGTGAGTGAGGTTTGCGGTGTGTAGTAGAGAATTATGCTCATCATGATTTGGCCCACGCTCAATCATTGCCCAAGCACTAAGCACAAATGGTTAATAAGAGAAGCTGAAATCTGTGGCCCCTAACCAGTGTTTGCTGCCCATGCGTTTTTTTTTTTACTTTTTGTAGGACCAGTGCACAGAGTAGTTAGATCCTTGTCGAACTTCTGTGGCACATAAGTGGTATAGGACAGGGCAGGCATTACTATGTACTATATAGAATAGTATGGCAAGGGGTGAGAAAGAGAGGTGAGAGGGTAAAAGCTTATCCAAGCCAGGACCAGCTAGAAGCCCACCAACTATGTTGTGACCCAGCCTTGCTCAACTTAATTCAAGCTCAGCAAAAAAAAAAAAAACCTTTATTACATATGTCTTATATTGATTAGTAGGGTTTTATAGCACAAGGGCCATGAGTGGCCAACCAGTTTCATGTCTCTTATATAGTGGTGGCGATAACCAATGTTAGCGATGATTGGGTGTGTTATGGCTGTATAGAGGCCCAAAATCACGTGCTATAGACAAGCGTAAAATCTGTGTATAGACTATAAAATTATGACAGTAATAAGCGATGCGATATACGTCTGTGTAATGACCATTTGCAGGTAAAGTGAGCGCCGCCAGTCATCTAAACAGGAAAGCTTTGCTCGTGCTTTTGGTTGGAAATGTCTTCGCCAACAAACATGCTCAAGGCAGTGTTTAGCGGTTCATGTGCGCTTGTTTAATTGCTTTAGTGCCAAAAATGCGTGTATATTATTAAAAAACTACTTTGTTGAGGAGGGAAACCTTCCATTGATGTTTTAATGAATTGTGTGGAACGAAGATTTCTCGCGTTTCAGCCTAAGCAACGACCAAGTGAGGTAATTCCTGCTCTCCGCTATTTAGACAGTTCGCCAGGCACAACGCGCCTGCTCCTTCAAGGAAGAACACTGCTCCTTCAAGGAACACTGCTCCTTCAAGGAAGAACAAGTTGACACTTGAAACATCTGACAATGAACTAGGTTCGGTGAGGGCGGCTTGGGTCTGCGAGGTCCGTTGTTTATGCGAAAAGGTCAGAGCTCGTCGTTACTACGGGTCACATCGATGGAACGCGTTGGGACTGTGTTGCCGGGAGAGATATTTTTATATATAGGTAGAACGTACTATGAGCATTTCTAGAACGCACATATTAATATAAGCGTCTCTCGGTGAAATCACCAAAGTATCAAATGACAATATAAACGAATCTGTGTCCATGGGCTCGTAGGTATAACAGTATTATTCTTTTATTTTAAAAAATACGGTAGGCCCATTCAGGGCCCAAGCAGGAGTGGATACATATATAGGTAATAATAAATGTCATGCATTTGAAACAATGAAATAAGTAAAATGTACATGCTTACATATATACACTTAAATGCCAACCACTGTAATAGCAACAAAAAAAGAAGACTAAAACAAATGTAAAACTACCGATAGGTAGGCTAACTACAACGGTGTGCTCTACGCCTATAAGCGATAAAGTGCCAACAGAAAATACCACAGTTCTCAGTATCCCACGGAAAAAAAAAAGGATTGCCTATGCATAACAAAGTATACAAAGAAATTGTGAAATCAAAAAGAGGATACTACTACGTCCTATTTATTCAATTGCTCTATTAGCTCAGCGCTATGTAGCCATGTCAATAGGAGCACGTTCTATTGTGCATTAAAAAAAATGAAAATTTTAAAGCATTACAGTTTTGGTGCTGAATGGGGTTAGGCATTCAGCATGGCGGTGCCTAGTTTGTCGGGTTGAAAGGGTCGATGCGTGATCTTCAGGTTTTAACACTAGCTTTCTGTGTTTCGGTTGAAAAAGAAACTTTAATCTGTGTACCTTCCACCGAAGTTTCAATGTCTGAATACCGTGTTGACTCATTAGGGTGGTTGGGGAGTCAGTCCGATACTTTGAATAAGTTAATAGGAGGATGCACTTTCCTTATATGCAATGTTACGCTTTCTTCACAAGACAGGAGTTCCCATTATAGTGATGACTAAATTACTCGTGCTGCTATCTCAATCATGGTTCCCGCAGATACGCGAGAGTGCATTCTTGCGTACTAACGGCAGCATTGTGCAGTCTATTAGAAGTGCTGATAGTATACGCCTTGTGCTGCTGTTCTATACTATAAAAATCCAAGAATGTTAGTACGGCACCCACACCGAGCCGTGTAAGCCAAATTCTTCTGTTTCAATGAAAGTTTTCTCCTTCTCATCCTCCACCTGCATACCTCATGCCGTTGTCCTAGCATATTCCTTTTTTGCACGTAGCCTCCCGTAGGGGAGACTGTCAAAATTCGCGCTCATTTCTCGGTTTAGATGCGACAGTAGCACATCCGTCACAAGCAGTTTTCGTAGGTTTTTCTGGCAGCTAAACATGAACTGTCCAGCCCAGCTCTTCATGCTTCTTTCTCTGTAAAATAATTCGTGCAGTGTGCTGGTATATTTGCCCAAACTACGAAAGCAAGGCCGCTCAACCACGACACACGAATGAACGACCGGCGGCCGGCTGGGCTCATGTTTTCTAACCAAAACCAAAACGCCCGTAGAGGGCGCTACCTCTGCCGTTACTGCTCATGCGCGGTAGCTTTCCTGCATATGGTCAATTAACCAACTTTCGAAGCAACAAAGCTATCCAAAAATTTTATGGAGAAAAATGTTGACTGGTTTGCAAAGTGTCCGATTAGACAGTAAGCTTATTTTTGTTGATTATTAGTGTTTTTTCACATAATAAAGATGCCTACAAAATATAAAAAGAAGAAAAGTCAGTTTTGCTGCAAGTGTGAAGCAATGAATGTGAGAGCAACAAATTGGGATGTCACACCAAAAACGGCAAGCAGATCAAAACTTGGAGCGCGTTTCTGAAGCACAAAGGACGCACGAAAAGAACACACACAAGACGAGCGCTAACTAACAACGCAGCTCGACACTTAATGCGCTGCTCAAATGCAAAAGATGCACGAAACATACGCACAGGTACACACAGGACGAGCGCAAACTAACAAGTTTGTGCTCGTCCTGTGTAAGCTGTTACTTTACTGTGTTTGAACAGTGTGCATCTTTTGCAGGTCACTTAGATCTCCAGTGAGTGAAGTGACCTTTGTGCCCTGTGTAACCTAAACACGATCTTTCTGGCGAAAGAATGCTAGTACAAACTGCCCCCACCAACAATATAAGCACATACATGCACAAACCCGGGGGACTAAGCCCCGTAGCGCAAAGTGCAGGTTTATGAGCCAACGCTTCACAATAAGTGGGGTGCCATTTGTTGTTGTCGTCAGCCAGCGTGTGTCAGTCCGACGACTGTCCTCGCAGCACACACCAGTGGAAAACCCTCTCTGCTACAAAGTAGAGCAATTGAAAATGCAGAAGGTCCGAATTCGGAGAAGGCAACGGGCAAGCTGTCCGATGACGTGTGAATTATGGGCGACGAGAAATTCCAGGGCTCAGACAAAATGCGCAGCCTCTAACACGCAGTGTTTCGAACACTGTGCAGGAAAGCCTCTGGCCGCTCCATCGGCCCAGTTTCCAGTGCCAAAAGACCCAATGTCTAGGTCTGGCTTCCACGCCTCCAACCCGGTGGCACTAACGCAAATGGGATATTTGTAACAATGTGAACAAGACAATAGTAAAATCACAAGAAACAATTGTGAGTAATGCACAATAACGTAAAATAAAACCTTGTTTACCGAGTTAACACTATGACAGTTAAGTCGTACGTCTCAACTTCAAGAACTTCATTTTTTCTCTCTTTTTTTTGATTGAACGCATTTTCTCCAGCAACAAGAAAATGCATTCTGGTCAGCGTAAAAAAACTAATTATCGATTTGTCACTTCCAGTTTGTGGTGTTTACAGCCAGCCATATTTAACCTCTTCACGGACAAGCAACAAATAAAGTCTGTTATGCTGTCACTTTTCAGCTTGTGTAAGCTGAAGCAACAGGTGAACGCACCTTCCATAGCTTTGACCAGGTCTGTTAAAAACTCAGGTGGGTACAGAAGGCATGATTCTGCCGGAAGCAAGCTGGAATTTTCAGAGTGAAGCAACAACCTTCTACATTCGTTGCACTTCATCTTTTGCGCAATCTTCCGGGCCACATGGCCACTGATGTAATAAGTGATTCGGGAGTCACTTTTGCGTCCAATGAGATCAGCGTGGTCAGGGAAGGCTTCACAAGCAACAGTCATTTCGTGAACCTCATTGAGGCACCCCACATCTAGCAGCTCATCCAGCTTATTTTGCAATTTTATTAAATTATTGTGGATGCTCGGACATAGAAAGCTGCTCAGAATTCCAGAAGGTATGTTTCCACTGGAAGGTGACTGCGCCAAACTGTGAAAGCTGAGGCAATTCACAGAGACCAAAAATTGGGTCGGCGAAGAGTGATCATTCAAGCCAAACATTTGCTTCAAAATTCCAAAAAGATTTTAAGCGCGCCTTGGCAGAGGGGAGACGTCATCAAGTATTTATAGCCCAAGGTTTTCGTGACATAGTGCAGGATGGAAAGGGTGCTGGTTAGAGAGATGCGGACTCCTTCGGCAGTTGATTCACCCAGGAACCCACCCTCCTTAGGTACAGCTTTTTCCCAAGTTGCTAAGAACCCGTTAATTGCCTGTAGCTACGAACGATATATCTTTCGTATAAATGAGCTTCCCACATAACGCAGTTCTTTTCCAGTGGTGTGTCAGCGCAAAAAATTGCACGCTATCAGGCCTTGCGCCATTCATCGTCGGCGGGAGCAGAGAAGAGAGACGCTTTCTTCCCTTCTTTGCAAACCGAAAGATATCCCGCATTGCATCCAGGTGCAAAACAGTGTTTGCTGTTTACCCATCACTGGGGCATGGTCACATTGGCACATATTGATCCCAAACAAGTCCAAATAGACAAAGCACAGACCTTGCGACTTGCGAGCGCACGAGAATGTGACTACAAGTGCCATGCTAGCGGCTAGCGAGCGCTATCGACCGATCAAGGTGGCGACTTGCACGCCATTCGGCGGCAAAATGAAATACGAGCACGCCTCAAGGCGCAGCCGGGACGATGCTGACACCTTTCCTTCTAGCCACCATAGTGCGGGCACGAACGAAACTGGGAGCAACGATGGAGCAAATCCTGCTTCGAGCTGAGAATGA